ATATCATATTAACACATATCAAAGTAAATACATCAAAACAAAACATATCATATTATCATATAGCTCTATATGAATGCATCTATATCATATATCTCATACATATCATACAACCTGACCACAGTCCGTACACTATGGCGGAACACAAAGTAGGAGCGAACCCCATAAACATAGAGCTTACATCTTTGAACTTTACAATCTGCTTACTTGAAGAACAAGCTACTTATCATACTCCACGAGAATCCAAACGTTCACAGTCCCTAGGTACACCTAGAGAAGGAATTCAACATAAAACTCAATAAAATGATATAATGCTATGTAAATATACAAGACACACACTTTATTGTTTATTTTCTTTTTACTTAATCATATTAAGTCATGAGTGAGTGGTTCTTTGTTCAACAAATCCCCACAAAATTCCATATATTCACTTAGTCTTAGGATAGTCCCAAAAGGCCTTTAGAACACTCATTACTCCTCTTAGCACCTAAAAGCCTATTTTTCCCAATTTAAGGCCGAATGCCCATTACAAAGGAGCTATAAGATTTCTCTTTGTCTAGTGCCTAAACCCAAGCTTAGCCACCTATATAAATTATTTTACGCATATAAGTATCCTCACTTTGCGAAACAATATCTCCGAACATATACCTCATTTGAAAATGGCCAAAACTCATTTTAAGGCCATACAAAGGAGCTACCTTATTTTCTTTTTTATTTCACCAAAGCGAAGGTCCATACACCTTAGAATATCATTCCACGCATAAAAGTATGCTCGCTTTGTAAAACAGTAACTCATAGCACATACTTCCTTTGAAAATGGCTAAGAGGCACATAAAGGAAATCATGCCAACTTCATGATTTCAATGCTTTACTCCATCAAATTCAAGCTTATCACACACCTCTAATCCAAGATTCGTTAATTGATATATACGACACTGTTCATCTCTACAATACTATTCATGTATGCGTCACTATTCACGTATACGACACTATTCAAAAATACGGTATTTTTAATTTTCCAAAATACATTTTCACCGTTAAAATTCTCATCTAAACACTTTTCTCAACATGAGCTAAACCTGAATCAAGCTCTAACATGCTCAATCAAACCAAATTTTCAAAATGAAAACCTAGATTCAATCTTCCTCAAAACTAAAAGAAAACCAAGATTTCTCAACATAAACTTAACTAGACGAAGGGGAAGGCTTACTTCAAGCTCCCATGGCTTCAAGCTCCATCAAAATCTCCATTATCCATGAAATCCGAAATCTTGGAGGAGGAGGATCTCTCTCTACAATGAAACCCACTCAGAAATACTGGTACCAATGGATTCTTCTCGAAATTTCTTATAAGTTTGGCTTTGGAACGGAGTGATTTGGAGTTTTCTAGCTCAAGTTATGAGCCTTGGAAGATTGGATTTCAAAATCTCATTCTCTTCCTCCCTCACTGTCGTCCGCGAGAAGAAAATAAGAAGGAATAGTAACTTTTTTTGAAATTTCACTTATATAGGTCAACTTAAATCCAACTGGGTAAAGGTTTATCTATCTACACACCTCCATTCATAACCAAACTTTACCCAATGGACTAGAATATTTTTCTAGTCATATTTCTATTTTTACTTTCACTTTTTGGATAACTTTATTTACCCGTATTTTTACCTCTTAACTGTCATTTTAACTCATTTTTCACCAAAGGTGACTTTATTTCTTTTACTTCTAATTATTCTTCAATACTAAATCCACAATTACTAATGAGGGTTATTATAAAAGTCATGGAAATTTTGATTTGATTTTTTATTGTGGATAAGGATTAAGGGAAATTAAAATATAATCAGGTAAACTTCCTTTTTTAAAACAAAATTTGATTTGATTTTCTTTTAATCACCAAACCAAAGATGGGATGATTTATCAGTGCATCTTTTATTGATTTGATTTCATTGAAAATCTGATCATTTTCTTGATTTTGGTATAATTACTCTTATGGACCAGAGATAGGCCCACAACGGTGAAAAGCCCAACCCGCGTAAGTTCAGTGGTAAATTCTATAAATAGGGACTAAAGACCACAGGTACGAGGATCTCTCTGACCTTATTTTTATTAAAGACACGACAGTGCACACACACCTCCTCTAGCTCAGGCCATCATATAGTGTGTAGTGATCAGCTGTTCTCAAGATACCTAACTCATAGGTATCTAGAGAGAAAGCCCTAGATCCAATATCAAAGACCCGACTTATAGTCGGACAGATCTGCTCAAGGCAGAACAATTACCAACATCAGAACGAAATTTGGAAGAAATTAAAAGAAAGAATTAAATCTTTTAAATACCCAAGAAAGACACAAACACAGGAAGTAATAATAACAGAAAAAAGACGAAGGGGTGAGATACAATAGAAGGCCGAGGTCGAGACAACGATTAAAGCGGATAATTACACTGCCAATTCTTCTTTTCTTGTTTGTTGTAACGAGATTCTGACGGGTAATTTATCTTCTTCTTCTTTTTAATTGCCAATGGTGTTGCTGTATGTATTTTGATTTAATCATTTTTTGAGAACTTGTGATCGATATTTAGATTTTTTTTCAGCCTAACATAATGGTAATAGTGGGTTGTTTGATAGTTTTGATTTATGATGCACCGAACTTCAAATTTTTGAAGTGTGTTTGATACTTTCCAACACTTCTCGCACTTTAACACGCGTTGCAAAGATTCAAAAAAGATTCAAAGATTGCTTTGCATTACATTTTTAGTTCCAACTATTAAATTCTTTTTTTTGAGTTTAATATAAATATTAGTGATATCTTATGTTTCTTACAAAATTAATCGGTATTATAAGTTTAGCATCATTTTATTATTAAATTATTGAATATTAAATATAATATACACAACATAAATTAAAAATATTACTTAATATTAAAACGTCTTTTAACGTATCAAAATCTAATATTTTTTAGAATTAAAGTGTCTAAATATAATATTGTATTTCATGTTTCGTGTCGGTGCAACATATGATAGGTTTTGATGTTATATTTTCACAAACACCATTAGTTGCTATAGTTGATAGAGTTCATAAGGTTGTTATTCTTTGGAGACTAACTGAAAAGTGAGGAAGGTGATTAACCGTACTAATTTTTTTCCTTCTCCTAAATATTACGTCTTATTGTAAATATTTAGTTTAAATTTATACATTTTTTATTTGAAAATATTTATATTAATTTCCTATTTTTTTTTAGAAAATTTTAAATTTATTCACTTAAACGTTTGCGATTTTCTGGATTTTTAATTTTTTTAAAAAAATAAATAAAATTGGTGAGCTCTTATTTTCAAATATTGGTGTCGTCTGGATGATTTTGATTGGGGTTAGCATACCTCACAATATGGCTTTCTAGTGTGGGCTGTGAGATCCATGGCTATGGTTGCCATATTCTGATTGTTGTAATTTTGGGAATACTTTTCACAAACAGTAACGCAAAGATCATGGCAAGACAGAATAAAGAGAGCATAAAGAATGATACACCAGTATTTTACAGGTTCAGAAACTCAGTGTAAGTGAGTTTCCTACGTCCTGGGGCCTAAAGAGGGTTAAACGCCCTCTGATTACGAACTATATTCAAGATTAGAAAAATAAGAACCAGAGTTTGAAGCATACAGTAACAGCTATACAGAATCAAAATATGGAGAAACTAATTGCAAGAAATTAACAAGACAGAATCATGAATTAAAGAACTCAAGAGACAAAACCCAGAACCGGTAAGATAAGAATACAAAAGGATGAAGAGAACTTCCCAATCTTCACAAGATACCAAGGAAACGTTGTTCCTTTAAAAAATACCCAAGCTACACACCACGAGCTTCTCCGTTCTTCCTTGCAGATTTCACTCTTCACCAGTTTGTACACCAAACAGGAAAATCCACCGATCAATCGAACCGTCTTGTCGAGATGAACAAGGTTCTCCAAAGTAGCATAGCCAGATTCACAAAGATTCACTCAGTGTTTGCACAAAACACTCACACTCACAAACCCTAACAGAGAGCATTTTCTTTTCAGGAGAGAGAGAGAGCAAAAATATCAGAATGAATGTTTCTCAATCGATCAACACACAGACAAAAGGGAACAAGTATACACTTAAGCCATCACACAAAACTCTGAAGTTTTGATGTGTTGCTTAGTGTATAAAAGATTCATCTTCAACTGAGTGTCAAAAAATCACAATGGGCCTCACACATTCACATTTGGCCCATAGTTATAAAATAACCAATAGTCAAAACAAGAATCAGCCCAATGAAAACTTAGTAAGGTGAACAAAGAGTTACATTTGTTTAGAAAATAAAATATCTCTATATACAACACTGTTAAATAGCATTTCTGTAAATTGTACTTTAGTTTCTCTTTGATAAATGCATAAGTTATTTTTCCAAGAGTAACATATTTTTGTAAGATGCTGTGAGTCATTTGACATTTTCTGACAATAAATGTGTAAAATATTCTTTCAATCCTTTAGAACTGCTATGCACAAATACGAGTATTACATAGATTTTATGTGAAATCCAGTCAAACAATTGAGCTTTGTCAGTCCTGAGTGGTAATCAGTATTACCTGAATAAAGTTCAGTTTTCATAAGGCTTATAATTTTGTTCCTCAACTTGACTACTTTACTTTGGGATAATGAAAAAGGAACGTATAAGAAGAATATGTTTGATTTTGTATTCACCCCATTACCTCATCTACATGAATACACACTATAATTTGATGTAGAACTTCTAAAATGAAAGGCAGATTCGAACTTAAGCAAAGAATCTTCTTTATACTTTGCCTAAAAAATTAAAAATAAAGAAGTGTTATCTACACATTCTTCCCCAATCCTCTTGGATATTTTCCCAAGAAGAAGACATCAAAGAAAGACATTACATGATTAACTTGATTTCCTTAAACATTTTGATAATCATATACACCTACAAATTCACAATAATCATCTGCTTGCAGGGACTATTGTGGAAACAGAACAAATGTCATCAGCAATGAGGGATCACAAGATCGTTCGCAGAATGAAAAACCTTCCTGGACATATAACGAGGGGTATTTCAAAGGCAATGGGAGATGTTATAATCTGCGTGAGAATAGGAAGAAGAAGAAGAAATCAACACACAAATTCTCCATTGCAGCCTCAAGTCCTTCCACAAGTAGAAGATAATAATAACCTTGTAGTTCCAGAAGAGTGGGATTTTCTAATCAGTTTTGAGAAGCAATATGGCATGGAACATCCTTTCTTTTATGCTTGTAGTTTCAAGGAAATGGCCAAGTTAGCAGAGCAAGAGCAGAAGCTAATGTTCGTGTACCTCCACTCACCAGACACCCCTTTTGCAGATATGTTCTGCGAGAAAACCTTGTGTTCTGAGTTAGTAACCAAGTTTCTTGATGAGAAATTTGTTTGCTGGGGAGCATTTGCTGATAGAGGCGAGGGTCTGCAAATGGTTTCAACGCTACTCCCTAATAGCTTCCCCTGTTGGGCTGTCATAAACCCTTCTCATAGTTTTGGCATAACAGTGCTGCAACAGGTTGGTTTAAATTTTGGGGTTGACAACTCACTCCCTCATTCATAAACCCTTTATTTTGTTATGGATTATGCTTAATATCTCAAATATGAATGTCTTTAATGATTTGTTATTTAGGACAATGCAATGAAATGATGCTGATCCATGAGTGCATCATTAGTCACAAACAATATTTGAAATGGTCTTTGTTATTCTCATTTTTTCTTTTTCTTTAATTTGTTTATATATTACTTGTTCAGCTGGAGGGACCACTATCACCACCTGAGCTAGTGGAGATTCTACAAAGATCATTGGGAAAGCAAGGTATGGCTATTGGAAGTGATAAAGTTCAGCAGGAAGAAAAGATCCAAGCAGACCGTAGGCTTAGAGAAGAACAAGACATTGAATATCATGCAGCTTTGCAAAAAGACCAGGTATGTGTACCTCTCCACTCTCCACTCTCCATAATTTAACTCCTCGTTTAAGGTCAATCTTAAAATACTCTTTTTTTTTCTTTTTTCTTTTTTTATCTTTCCTAAAAACAATAGTTATCTTATAAGAATTATTTTAGGGTTTTATAAGAGTTGTGTTGTTGGAAAAGGGATTGTGTAATGTTATAGAGATTTGTTTTGTGTGCCTTAATTTTATTTTTTTTCAAAAAGTGCGGGCCCCACAAAATGTTGTGTGTAGGAAACTTTTTTGTGTCATGTTAAATGATGAATGTAAATCTCATTATTTTAACTCAAAACCTTAAGGTATTTGCTGAGACTTAATTCATTATATTGCATCTTTTATATCTCTCTAACACAACTCTAATACAAGAGTCCTTTGAGCTTGAAGCGTGGACATGACACAAGTCTATTTTTTATTTGCCTTGTACTGCACAAATCCTCCCCTTTTTTTCTGCCTTGTGTTTTTCTTAATTCCACCTGGAAGCGGAGAGCTGTCAGGATCAAATTCATGACCTCCTAGTCACTATTTTGTATCTCTCTATTACACTTCCTCACGCAATAGCTCTTTGGGCTTGAAGCGTAAATATGATATAAACTCATTTTTTGTCTGTCTTGTGCTTTTCTTAATTCCACTTAAAAGTGCGGGCGGTGAGGATCGAATTCATGACCTAATAGTCACTAAAGCTCTGTTACCATGATAATTGTCTCTTCAATGCAAAACTTTAAGACATTGAGTGAGATTTAATTAATTATTTTGTATCTTTCTAACATTAACTACCATTACCTCCTTAATATAGGAAAAAGTCAAAAGTTTACTCTCAAGAGAGAGAGCTCAGAAGACAGTGGAAGCTTCGAACACTAGAAATGATGGGAAGCTCAGTAAACAACAAAACAAAACGAACGAGTCTACTAACGAAAAACAAGACAAGGGAATTGCAATGAGGGGAAGCGAATCTGAGGCCACGCAGGTACATATACAAAGTTAGAAGCATGTCAGAATATTTAGCTTGTTTTGAACTTATGTTTGTCAAATTTTATGTTGCAGATACGGATAAGGTTTCCAAATGGGGAAATGAGAGAGCACACTTTCCTGTGCACGGACAAAATCCAGTCCGTTTTCTCATACATCGATTCGTTGGGTTTGCTAGGGATTGGGATGTATAGATTGATATCAAACTTCCCAAGAAGAGTTTATGGTGTTGATCAAATGAAAATGACTCTCAAAGATGCTGGCTTGTATCCAAATGCTAGCATGTTCCTGGAGCTTGTGAACTAGAGTTCTATAACCATGTTCACATGCACATGTGATAATTCCCAAACCTATTTTTTTTTTTTTATTATTATTTGAGTTTATTAATTTTGTTTAAAGGTAAAGTTGATCTTGGTGTTGACCTTCAGTTTATAATTCCGAGACCATTTCAGCCGCTGTTATTTTAGTTTACAGGAAAGGCACAATTGCTCTGGATTTGAAGTATTAAATGCAAAAAAATATTGATGTTTCACTCCACTTAAAATTATTATATTAAAAGAAAATACTGAATGCATGGATACCTTTTACTTTATTTAACTCTTTCCCCCATTTTGAAAAGCTGAGTGCAAAATTATTTTTCTCCATTTGGCAATTGTCCGAATCCATATTGGTGGAGCGAGAAATTCATAAATTATTTTTTTAAGGTCACATTACGTTTTACAATTTTTTTTTTTACAGCTCTTATAACATCAATCATGTATACCTGAGAGTGTATTATCTGGAGTACGTAGTTGAAATTTTGTAAGAATTCTAAACAAAAAAAATTATAAATATAACTCTCTTTTTTATCATATAAATAATTGGAATTTCAAAGAGAAATTTACGTTACAATTTGGGACATTGACCGTACTGCCCCTTTTGTGATAATAATATACCTGAATGTCATATCTTTAAAAAAATATACCAAACTGTCACGACACCATAGTCGTTAAGGGACCCAGCTACTTGGACCGGACACGTGACACTTCTCTAGTGGCTAGAAAAGCCTAGAAGGTCTGTTGCTCAAAGTAGCTACCTTATGTAGTGACTTTGGGTTGGGTAAGACACCTCTCACTTATTTGAACAAAGTAGTCATGATATGGTACGCTGGGTAGCTACTTTGGTCTTATAAAGCAACTCCCTACCATACCAAAATTGTTCAGTATGTCTCTGTTATTTTTTTACTTTTCCATTTTTTTACATTAATTTAAAATAAAAAATATTATATTAAGTATCCTACAGTTTACCGTAACTAATTCATCTAAGAAAAATAATTCATATCAAATAACTTATGGTTTAATCCTATACTAAGAGAACAAATAAAATATAAAAAATTTAAATATCATTTATCCTAATATTCCAAGTACGCAAAAATAATTACAATTAAATTAAGGGTTCGTTTTTTCTGCAGTTACTGCAGATAAGTTATCTGCATTAAGTCCAATACGACGTCGTTTTGGAACGGAAATCATGGTGTTTTTGTAATTTTAATTTATTTCAGTATTATTATAGTCTGTATAATTATAATTTTCTAATCTTTCAATCCCAAAACGACGTCGTTTTGGAAGTAAATGCAGATAACTTATCTACATTAACTGCAAAAATATTTTTCTGTTAAATTAAATATATACAACACAAATATTGAATAAAATATTAAAATCCATTTATATCATTCATTTAAGAAAAATAATTCATATTGAATAAAGGCCTGGTTGGACCGGACATGTGCCACTCCCTCCCGGTGACTGGAATTATTTTAGAATTATTAAGTATCCTATAGTTTACTGTAACTATTTTTGGGTACTTGAAATATTAGGATAAATGATATTTAAATTTTTTATATTTTATTTTTTCTCTTAGTATAGGATTAAATCATTAGTTATTTGATATGAATTATTTTTCTTAGATGAATTAGTTACGGTAAACTATAGGATACTTAATATTATATTTTTTATTTTAAATTAATGTAAAAAAATGGAAAAGTAAAAAAATAACACAGACATGACTGAACAATTTTGGTATGATCGGGAGTAAACTTGTATAAGACCAAAGTAGCTATCTATGTTAGCAACTTTGATTCAGTGGCCAAATTAGCTTCCTTACCCAGCGACTTTGAATCATTAGTATACCATAGTCGGTGCATATCATGACTACTCTGATGAAATGAGTGACAGGTGTCTTATCCAACCCAAAGTCGTAACGTAAGGTAGCTACTTTGGACAACCAGGCCTCCTAGGTTTTTTCAGCCACTAGGAAAGTGCCACGTGTTCGGTCCATAATAGCTGAGTACCTCAGTGACTATGACGTTGTGATAGTGTGGTATATTTTTTCAAAGGTGTGACATTCAGGTATATTATTCTCACAAAAGAAACAGTATGGTCAATGTCTCTTACAATTTTGGTGCTCTTAAAAAATTTCTCTGTCCGTAAGTGTCAATTAAAATATATTTATTTGCGATTTTTTATTGATTGGATGAGCCCATCAGGTAATTTACAACTTTTTTTTTGGGTTAAATAGGTAATTTAAAACTTTGATTCATAATGTAGGGGCAATACGGCCCAACTCTATTATCAGTGCTGGACTTTTTCTCTTTTATATCCGTTATAGACTTGGCCCATTACCGCCATATTCAATCTTAAGTCATTATCAAGTTATCAACTGAATATTTGTAAAGCTTGGATGGAGCTATGGCTGTATGACAACCTTCCCACAATGAGTTTTTTTATTATTTTTGCTCCGGGAACAAAAATGAATAGGAATTGCGTTTGACAAAATCGGTTTATTTTTTTGTTCTCGGAATAAACCGGTTTATTTTTTGTGCTGTGAAACAAAAAAAGAATCAAAAAATTCCTGCTTTTCTATTCCAGGGCACAGAAAGAGAATCAATTTTCTCTCACACTCTCACGACTTCTTACCCGCTACACATCAACACCGAACCGTCACTGGCCTTCAACCACATATCACCGGATCACCACCCCTCCCTTCACCATAGAAGTTCTTGGTCTCCTTTTAGGGGTGTCAATATGGGTTTTGACACGCGGGTCAACCCGCGACACGACACGAAAATTCGTGTTCGGGTTGACCTGTAAAAAAATTCGTGTCGTGTTCGTGTTGGAAAAAATGACACGCAAAAAATTCGTGTCGTGTTCGTGTTTATGAATTCGTGTTCGTGTCGACCCGTATTATTTTTAATTATTATTATTTTATTTTTTTATTATTATTTTTTAATTTTTTATTTATTTTCGATCTATTTTTTTAATTTTTTTTGTCAATTACCGTTTTGTCCCCTATTTTGCGTGTTATTCGTGTCGTGTCGTGTCAACCCGCAAAAAATTCGTGTCGTGTCAGTGTTGAAGATTTTGACACGAATGAAAATTCGTGTCGTGTTCGTGTTGATGTATTCGTGTCGTGTCAAATTCGTGTCGTGTCAACCCATATTGACACCTCTATCTCCTTTCCTTTCTCTCTTGCGTTCTCGGTTGCAGGTCTTTCTCCTTCACACAAGAACAACAGGTATTGTGGCACTGTTTCTAAATTTTGATCTCAATTTCGCATACCTATTAATATATTTGTTATTTTACACGTTCCCAATGGCATCGAGCACGATCCGCAAGGCGATTGGGGTTGTGAAGGACCAGACAAGTATCAGCATAGCAAAAGTTGAGGAATTTGGCTCCAGACCTTGAAGTGTTGGTTATTAAAGCCACTAGCCATGAAGAAGTCCCCGTTGATGACAAAAAAAATTACACAATAAAATATTTATAATATTTAGATAATTTTTTTAAATATGAAATTTGGCCTTTCGCTTAAAATCTGTCATTTGGTATTTTATACAGCTGATGAAATCTATAAACAAAAGTAAAGAAATAGATTTGTATTGTGTTATCAAAATGTAATTTTAATTCTCAGAATAAAAAAAAATTGTGTTAACAAACGTAATTCTGATTCTCGGAATAAAAATAAATTATGTTAACAAACGTAATTCTGATTCTCAGAACTCTTCCAAGACAGAAATAAAAAAGAATCATTTTTTTCAAAAACAGTGCCAGGAATCAGAATGATTGTCATGCGCAGCATATGGTAAAGGTATATCTTTTATTTTTTTTTACCGGAGAATATGGTAAAAGGATAAGATATTGTAACAATCAATTAGGATTACTATCAATAAATTTCATCGTTAGATTGATTATGGAATCATAACCATACAAAATTGAAAGTAAATATAAAGTATTAACTATGTGGAATCATAACTATACAAAGATGAAAATAAATATAACCACTGGATCAATATAATCGATCTAACGGTGAAATTGATTGGTAATAACTCTAATTGGTTGTTACAATATTTTTTCCCTATGATAAAAAGTAATAATTATTTATATAATTTCTATTTTTATAATTATTTTCTCTCATGTCCATTTTTTTCTTTTCATAAGGGGTAATATTTTTGTGAAAATGTAAATATTTTTGGTGTTATTGTTTTTTTTTTTGGAGTTACCCAACCCTAATTATCTCTTTGAGACGAGTTGGCTCCCTCCGGTATCCCCACGAGCTTCGACTCTTTGAGCCGGCTATGGGACTAATCCGGAGCGCGGGGGAACAGTGATGGCTAAAGGTTCAGCCCCCTCCCCAAGAATGGATTCAGCGGGAATCGAACACATATTCAACCCCACTAACTCAGCGCCAAGTTACCAACTGAACTGCACCCATTGGGTATTTTTGGTGTTATTGTTGACGTACGCAGACACAATATTTTGAATTTCATTTAGTAAATATTATTAAATATAAATTTCATTCTTTGCAAAATTAGATAAATGTAAATAGTGTCGTTATTATATATTAAGATGACAGTTGGATTGGTACGTAACGAGTAATGTAAAAGTTAGATATCTGGATCTATACCAACTAAATAGATTTGGATTTGAGCGGATATTAATAAGTTAGGTCGCCGACCAAAAACTTACATGCCAGCTTATCTCAAACTAGATCTACCATCGCCAATGTAGTAAAATATATAGAGCAAATTCGAGTTAGGAAAAAAAAAAAAAACTTATTTAACAACCAACCACATGCTCATTTTAATAAGTTTGTCACACAAGCTTTAAATAAAATATTTTTTTTCTACTCATATCTTTTACTTGACAGTTGACACCCTTTTCAAAATGTTTCTCGTTATTATTTTCCTATCCTGTTTGATCTTTTATATTTATGGACGATTCTATAAATTTTGATTTTAGATACTGTCTTAGATGTTGTTAGAGATTAATATAAATCATTAAAAAGACTTTCACCTAACACCTTAAGATTTTGGGTTGAAGTGGTTCTTTACATGATTTCAGAGTTTCAGTGATCACGAGGTCACGAGTTCGATCCTCACCGCCAATGGCGGACCCATTTGGGTGTTATTGT